CTAAAACAAGACTAATACAACGAATCTGTGACACAAGAAAACGAAAAGCTACCTATATAAGAGACAGATTCTCCACTACTTTTTGAACCCTGAAGAAAGGCAAAGAAGCGGGTTATTTACAGGACGCCAATACAGAGTTACCTCGTTCTTTTGTCCTTTCAAGCAAGGCTGAAGAATCGGAGAGCCTGTGTCTTCTTTCAAGATCCTCCTTCACGGAAGCATCCTGGAGGAAGATACCCCTTTATCGGGCGGAGAAAAACATCAGACGCAAAAAGCAAGATCGTATCTCTCCGGCGTTGACCGAACCCCCAAACTCTCTTTTTTTAATTGGTCTGTTATCCGTTCCTGTCACCGGCCTCTACTTCTCTTTTACCCTGACTCATTTCTTGTGCAGTCACGTGGGACCTTGCCGAGACTGAAAGTAAAAGTCAAAAAGTGTGGTCGGGTGGGCCCCGTTTGCACACGTGGCATTTTGTGACTGACGAACACGCGTGTTAAAGATTTAGACACGGCTCCATAGTGTGAAACCGGCTCCAACAAAAAACAAAAAGAACATTGTATTTTATATTTTATTAAATTTTTATTTGAGAAGTAAAAAGAAAAACAATTTAATAAATCTCATAATAATAGTAATATAAATTTATATTTAATTCAGCGTCAAGAAATTTCTATTTAATTATTTTATTTTATTTTTTGTTATTCTTCGTATCTTTGAATGATATGAATTTATTTTTTTTAATTTAAGGTCAAACTATATATGATATATAATTTACTTTGTTTATAACTAAACATGTTCAATTAATTTATTTATAATTAGCAAGTTGTAGTGTTTTTTTCTTCTTTTGACAATCTATTACTTGGGGAACAAGAATTAGAAGTGCTAATCCACATGCTTAATTTAGGTTACTCATTAACTCAACCTTAGATGTTTTATTTAATTTTACTTGTATATATTTCCGATTAAATTTTTATTTTTTTAATCATAAATCAAGATTTTAAAAGTATAGAAAATATGATCCAATACAAAATTGTAAGATAATTAAAAATATGATATATTATTTAATATTTAATGTTTATAATTCGTTTCATATGTTAATTTTCTTTTATTTTTAAATAAAAAATAAAATTTAATCCCACTATATTATATTATATTTGAACACTTTAAAAAAAATAATTTTAATTAGTAATATATTAATTTTTTTATTAAATTTAATTGATTAATAAAATTTATTTTTTTAAAAAAATTTAAATATATACCGACTAAATTTAATTTACTAATAAAAATATATCTAAAAGTAAAGTGGTACCCACAACTCATTATACTTTGTTTCCAACCAATATGGTGTGATTTGAGCAAGAAGCACGCAAGTGAAAGCAAAGCACTAAGGGAGAGAGACCTTATCTCATCCTTGTGGACACCTCTCAAATACACATCGTTTGGCTACATTAACTTCTCTCGTCTTTATTTCTTTTCCTTTTAAAAGAAAAAGTGACCATGGCCAAACAAGGACAAGCCAACATGTGATGTGATGTCAACCACATCGAAGGGACCATATCTAATGATTTGGGTATGTGATAGTATAATTATTGTAATTTTTCGTATTCTTCAATATTAGATTAACCTTTTTAATATAAACTACACTCAATAATTATTATTAAGTGTTTCATAATCATAAAAATGAATTGTTAATTTCTATAAATTCATCCAATATTATTATTATTATTATTATTATTATTATTATAGAACAAAATCAATGTGAAAATGTAATATTTGAATTCGAAATTTAGTTTGTAATTAATTTTAATATTCTAAAAATGTATAAGAATCTATTTTTAAAATTAATAAATTTTAATTTAATGTAAAAATAATCATTAAAAAAAAGTTGAGAATGAAATTAAAAATAATTTTTAAAAAAATTAGTAAAAATTTGGGATCAGATAGTGGTTTTGAAAGAAAAATCATAAATTGTGGGTTAGAACGCAATAAAAAAAAATTATCACGTAGATCCACCCAGTCAGCAGTCTCGACAAACCGAAGCGTGCATCGTGGCAAGGCATGCTGACTCGATGCCACGCTGGCGATCCACGTGCCCCACGATCGGACGACCTAGAAACATTCCCGCGCACGTGAACGGTCCGGATCTGTTCCCTCCTCAGGCACGATCGGATGGTCAGGATCAAATACGATTAACAGTGCAGATTCGTTATCTCTTTAAATGCGATCCAACAATCGAGATCAAATCACAATTAACGGTTCATATTCATTTCTTCTTTAAACGTGATCGGACGGTCGAGATCAAACGTGATGAACAGTTCGGATTAACGAGAGACGAGTATAAATATTTCGTATTACACTGAACCCAAACTCTATCTACCATCCTCCAATCGGAGAAGAAGAATCAGTCGCCGGAGAAAGGAGCTGACCGCCGATTGCCACCGCATCAGAGCCACCTCTGACCACCAAAAAAGATAAAAATTATCTTTTATCCGCTCGAAATTTAATTTCGAGCACCCCTATGGCCAAATCGGAGTAAAAGGAACAGTGGGTGAGCCGAAAACTGCAGGCAAAACTCAACAGCGCCGTCACGAGTAAAACCCATAACCTTATCCGATGAGCCCTGTCTCGTTTTCTGTTTCGTGCGATTTTTTCACTGTTATGTTTACTGTTCTATTTTCTACATGTTGACTGAATAAAAACTCTCAGCCACGAAGGTAAGTCGGTGAAGCCGCCGCACCCAGAAAATTTCACAGCTGGTAGGTTTTCGTTTTCTGGTTTTCTTGGCCAACTGAAGCCCCGTAATGTGTTTTTTCGCAGGGACATACATAAAACCAGCAGAAACTGGCCAGAGCTGGCTGAAAACGGTCAGGCCGAGGCAAACCACCGTTGCGGGCAATGGTGCCGTCGCTGGAGCACGGCGGTGCCACCATGCCAAAACCCCAAAATTGACTGGAAGAAGTTTTTTTCACCGATTTTGAATTACTATGGTATTTTTAGGGACATGAAGCCTGTTTTAATCTCCGCAGAAAAACTCAGAGAACTCGGAGACCACCAATAGGTGCAGTAGAGAGTTCGGTATTTCGGATACCAATTCAGATAAGAATCTCTCACTTTATTCTCTATTATATAATTGAAGTTTAATAATCGATAATATGGTATTTTGTGTAATTTAGAAAAATTTGAGAATAATTACAAGTTACTAATGGAGTCAAATCCGGTTAGTTATTTATTTGTTTGTACTGTGTAATGATTGTTTGCTTTTACAACTTTAAATGCATGAAAATATACTTGAATGATTAAATGATTCAGTTGTGCTTTATTGATGTATATTTATTGTTTGTCTTGCGTGGTTTACGGTTAATTTATGAAATTAAAAATTAATATGCAAACGAAAATTGTTTGATTATGTGAATTAATAAATGATTGTCTTACTAGATATCCTGAGAGATAGTAGACGGATCGGGTATATAAGGAACTCTACCGTGAATGTTGTCTCATACCGAACGGGGTATCGAAAAATGATATTTTTAGCGTTCATACCAGACGGGGTATGGGGACGGCCGGTTAATTTACAATATTGAATATTGGTTCACGCATAGTGAGACATCCATATGGACCCAAAAAGATACTAGTAGACAAATAAAAAAAAAAAGAAAATTTATTATTTTTGCTCACTTAAATATGATATTAGAATGTTATTTAAGTTAATATCTCTATAGATCGATTTTGAAAATCTCGCAACGATAAATATATACAATAAATATTTTTTCTTATAATAAATGAATTTACTTAAATCAATAGCTATATTGGTTGTTTTTATGATTTTTACCAACTTTCAGTTTCTGTATCGGTGAGTAATGTGATATTCTTACTGAATTAGTATAACTCACCCTTTCATTAACTATTTCAGATCAATAGAACCAATATCCAGATCTCGATCAACAAGAGAGTTGTGAATAGTTCATTACTCGAACTCCCTTCAAAAACTAGTGAATGTCGTCATAAAATGTTCAGTTATTTGTCTTTTATTTATTTATTTGATTTTTGTTCGTTATTTTAGAACGAATATTCTCGTAATCCTATTAGGCATTTTAAATTATTATGTAAAAAATATAAATCCTAAATTCTATTATTTTGCTTCCGCATTTAATTTATGACTTTATTTTCTTTTAACTTCTGGACCTTTACAGAAAAATTACTTAATATATAAAAAATCGACCTCAAACATAAATTTTTTTGATATGGTTACTTGACCTCCTCAAATTTCTTAATCAAAAACCTCGATTTTTAATACGATTATGGTCATAGACATTATATAGTTCAACATTAATATAATTTTCTTAGTCAAAAACTTTGGCCAAAGTTTGGCATTTTTTATCTTAGAAAAAACAAAATAGATTTTTTTTAAAAACTTAGGATTTCTTATTCTTTTTGTTTAACTCTCCTGCATTTGTATTAATTCAAACCCTGTTTTTTCACAATTAATTTATGTAGTTTTTTTGGGTATTTTATACTAAACGATCATTTCTTAAACTGTTACAATATATATTTTCAACAAGATCTAAATATGGTAAAATTGGAGACCCAAATGTGATTTTAATAAGAGGCCCATATCTCAATATGATAAAATTGGAGGCCCAAATATGATTTTAGTAAAATCTAAATATGGTAAAAAATTGGAGGCCCAAATATAATTTTAATAAGAAGCCGATTGCTTAGTATTGATAAAAAATGATAGTATCATATACATACATATATATATATATATTATGTTGAGAGGATATATATGTCATAACATCTCAGCCACAAAAAAGAAAAGCACATTTTCCTCTCATTTAACCAAGAGGATACACTCAATTTTTTTTTTTTTATTAAAAGAGTAAATAGAAATTTCGAACAAGAAAAGAGACACAAAATAAATTCCGAAAATGAAAGCACATATAATTTGTAGCCACAAAATAAAATATAGTTTTAGCTTATAAAAATTGTAATATCCATAACAAAGATTGAGGATGGGTGACACACCAAGGGGCACAACAATCTCATCAATAGGACCATACCACACACGAAAACAAAACAAATTTTAAGCTTCTTAAACTAAAACGAAATAAAATTTGTACTTCAAAAAAATGATTGTCAATTCATAATCTTTAGTTTTTTTTTTTATAAAATAAAAATACAGTATAATTTAAATAAAATACAAATATTATATATATATATATTTATATTTATAAGAAAAAGGACCATCAAATGAAACCTGTAAACAACATAAAATTTTTAGCATCTTCTTGTGTATGTGCTGAAGAATATACCAAAAGAATTATATATATATTGTTCTTATTCTCTCTTTTTTTCTTGGTTGAAAATGGGTTTTTTTTTTTTTCTATTCATAAGTTGATTTTATCTAAATAGAATCAGCTACAGATATATATATATATATATATGGGTGAGAAAAAAATAAACACATCACAATTTTTTAAAATTAAAAAATTTTAGTACTAAGAATATTCTTGCTTTATAGATTTACATCTAAAACCACGAGGGAAAAGAATAAAAAAATAAATAAATAAAATTAGAAAAAGAAATGCCAAGTAGATTTGTAAAACGTAATCATGTTATATAATATGATTAGTTAATGGAATATCACATGATTAGCACAAATCCCCTTGATTAAACTAAATTAAAATTTTAATTTGGTTGTGGATATATATTAGGAAGCTAGTCTAAGATTCCAAAATGGAGGGCTGTGCTTTTAGGAAAGTAGATGAACAAAAAGAGCGGAAATTAACGTTTGACACGTGAGGCCACGTGCCTGCCTAGTGGTGTCTCTTTCTAAAATAATTTAGCATTTAATTGTGAATTATCCATCAACGAGGATTTTACTATTTCATATGATTTAGAAGATTTTATTACGATAATAACACAAAGATCATATATTTTTTTAATTTATATTAACAATTAGTGATAATAATAGTGATGATAGTAACGAACAGTCACAATAGTTATAACAGTAATGACAATAACAACGATAACGATAAAAAATAATAATAACAATAATGAATGAAGTGATAGTGATTAAAGTAATAATTACAAAAATAAAACTAACATCAACGTAATAATAATTGTTATAATAGTTGTGATTGTGATAGTAATACAGTTGTAATAACAGTTACAATAGTAATAGTAGTGACAACAATAACAATAATAATTATATCAAGATAAATGTCAAAATTTTGATATAAAGTTTAGATTTGAAAAAAAGAGAGAAGGCTGAGAGTGAGAGAGAGAGAGAGAGTATAGGTGAGATTTAAGAAAAAATCATATTCTGATTTCAATAAATTTTCGATAATTTCTTTTATTAGATACATGCCTATATTTAAGGCTATAAAGACAAGATGTTGTAACCTCATGAATGGTAGAATAATGGTCATGATTTTTCTTTTATTTTTTTATTTTTCTTTCGTTTAATAGTAAAATAAAAATAATTCTAATAATTAACACAGTAGTGACAGTAACAATAATAGTGATAATAATGATATTAGTATAAATAATAATTATGATCTCGTATCAAGTGATAAAAATGAAAAAAAAAAAAGAATAATAATTTAATTTCGGTTGAAAAATATTTATTAAGTGAATAATACTGCCTTAAAAGTAAGATATATGACATCTATGTGTGTGTATGTATGCCTTTAACATATGGTGGAGCACTTACATATACCCTTCATGCTATCATACTTTTCATTCATGAGACAAAATAACACCAATTTGAAGCAATCAACTTGGAATGAATGAATTAGGTTAGCAAGCTTTTTATTGCATCAACCATTTACAAAAAGGCCAGCTCTTTCCATCAAGGGAAAGCAACACAATATTACACCATCAATTATCTTCATCTATTTTCTTTCCCCTCACAACTAAATTTTTTACACAATCATAACAAGAATACACAGAAGGCGAAAAAAAGAAAGAAGAAATAGACATAATTAGACACATCCTTCCCCACCAGGAATACTGGGTTACTCCTACAGGAGCCCATTAATCCCTAGAGGAGAAGGCAATTCTCTGATTGCTGCTGCTGCTTCAGCTGTTGCTTAGCTTGCTGCTGCGACCAGTATGCATGCGCGGTCAGGACCCTGTCCAGGAGCTCTTGCGGTACAGGCTCTCCCCGTCTTTGCTGCGGAGATATTCTAGCAGTGTGCACTAGGGTTTTCCATTTATCCTGCATGATAGACAGATAATCGCGATAGACAAAATTAATTTAAGCTATAACCCATCAATGAAGATTACAAAGAACAGCTCTTCACATTTGCTTTATAACCAATTTGTCCAAAGCAGCAGGAAAGTTACATTAGAATAAGAAAATTAGACAGACTATGCCCTTGCGGACCCGCGCCATCAAATGGATTCAGGATTCGGAATACAAGGGTTAACATGAGTAGGTACTAGAGGAACCCAAACTCACTGAAGAAACATTTACCGAGAAATGAGAACAATATAAGTACCTTCAAATCCACGTAAGTACGGTGCTTGGCATTGTCAAAAGCTCGCAGTTTAACATCACGCCACCTGTAGATAACCCAACCATCAATACCTTATTGTTGCGACAGAGAGTTCATTTGTTTAACCATGTGAATAGAGCAATCCAACATGATTCAAAACGAATACAGAAAAAATTCCAAGCACACATACTTCCATTTAAGAGTGACCACTGAGCAGATATAGAATAATTGCAATGTCATGCATGCCAATTGATCAAAAATGACAAATCTGAGAGGTAGGCATGGCTTTATTCCTTTTCATTTTTATCACAATGCATTACCTTCCAGTTCCGAGTTTCTCAACTGCTTGGACCAGCGCTTCGACTTCAGCAACGGAGAAAGGTCGACGAATTCGACGCTGCACAACCTCAGACCGTTTGGATTTTCTGTGTACTGGAACCACAGCGAGTGTCTCAACATTCACTGATGGTACAGCAACCAAGGCTCTAGAATCCGTTGTGCTTTTGTCAACTGACATATCAGTTGGAGAGGGTGCAGAATCGTGATCACTGTCAATTGAGTTACCGGTGTTAGCCACACGAGGCTCAGGCATTACATTGCGGGTGTCCTGTTGAATCATACCAGGGGCAGGTGGATACCTGGCAAAAACAAGAAATAATCATAAGCTGTTTCGAGATGTATTAAAAAATAAAATCTCATATTCAATTATGTCATGCTTCTCTTACCAAAAATTGACCAGACGAGAATCATCTTTTACTAAAAATTTTAAAAGTTTCTAACCCTTAAAAAATTATCATCATTTTTCAAGAAAAGGTTATTATAATCATTTTACAAAAGATGTTTTTGCCAAAAGATTATCATAATTATTAATAAAAGGTAAATGCTTGATACCAAGCCTAGGACCTAACTGCATTTCAATGAAAATCTGGCTTGCGAAGTAACAGACCTGCTTAGAGGTTGAGGCACGCCACAAGGAAGCAGAAATGGAGATTCTTCTGGGCACAGAGGTTTGGAAGCTTGCGAAGGATTAGGCTCCAGGCAGAAACCCAATGAATCCGACTGGTTATCCTGGGAAATTCCAGTTTGAAGTAGAGTTTTGTTATCATCCCTAACCTTCTTTCCTTGAAGAAATACACCAACTCGTAATTCTCCTCCAAGTATAGCAGTCACTGCCTCCATAACCGTTCTCTACAGCAAGAACATATGTATAATCAGAATAAGTAGATGGTGTCCATGCCTCGACAATGAGACACACCATTGAACCCAGAAGTACGTGGTGACTGTATATCAAAAAGTTGGATATGGGTGATGCAGGCAGATAGATATAACCACAAATACAGGTGCACCACCAAGCTAACTTTAGTCTTCTTAGGTTAAAATGCAAATTACGGGGTATTCAAGGAACTGTTTCCTAGCATTTTCTTCTACTAACTCGTATGAATAAGAAGCATCCATGAAATACTTTTACGAAAATAATAAGAATAGACAAATTATTTTTACCTTCAAAGAACCTACAGTAGCAGTCTCTGGGAGTTCAATAAATAGCTCTGGCACCCTGAAAGACTTGATCCTAAGTTTCACTGAGTCAAAGGAAATAAACCTTTGAGTAAGAATCTCTTTGAATGTCAGACACCAATCAAGTCAAAAGAGTACATATGAATCACTCCTTCAAAGGTTCTCATACCGTGAGAATCCCTAGACTGGAATGATGGGTGTTGGCCCCGTGCTGAAGACGATGCTCCAGTGGATGCAAAAGAAGATATATAACTAGTTAGCAAAGGGTACAGATGATAACTAAAACCGAAACCCAAAAGCCAAATAAATAAAAAGCATGCATAAAACCTTCATGCGTCTTAGGATGCGACCCAAAATCATCTCCAATAATGCCCTTCTCAGGTGCATCAGAAACACACTCGCTACTAATGCCTTCATCGGAATTAGACACTGAGATACAGTCGAAAAATTTCCTTTTCTTGAAAGGATAATTCCTGTCAGACCTTAAGCGTTTGTAACTGTTCTTCCTATTCCAGTAAGCAGGCTTGAAATCCACATCTGGAAGTATTAAAAAATCCATTTACCACGAATAAATAACTGAATACAAACCACAAATAATAATAGTGGACATAAACATAGAGAAAAGCAAAGATATCAACTGCTTACTAGTATTAGAAAATGTCACATCCTTCAATTTTGGAGCTACTTTCCAATATTTAGAGGCCAATACTTTCCTTATTCTTCTATCACCAAGTCGCGGGGTTGGCCTAAATAATTTTTTTGTGATGCTAGGGTGAGTGCACCCAGAAGAGCTTTCGTCATCATCTTTACTAACAAAATTTACATCATCCCAACTTCCGGGAAAAGAACTACGCGGAACGTGTTCCTCACGCTCCTGCACACTACTATCTAAACTGACTAGACCGGATAGTTTCCCAGCCCGGACCACGGGATCCCTTAAACTGCATGAATCAGTGCCTATTCCAAACAATGCTTTCTCATTGCCATGCAGCTTATCTTTTACAATCTTTTTAGCATCACCGTCTGTTTTATTACAATCCCCTGCCTTACCATGCCCGGATGGTCCTACCCCTACTTTGTTATCAAAACTTCCTATTTCATTCTTGGTTTTTCCCTTCACCAGCTTCTGAGTGTCAAACCTCTCTGTGCAATTAGAAGTTGCTACGGCAGAGGTAAATCTGCAATGATCATTCTCAGGACCCGGAGATTCTCTGTAACTATGGTTTATCGGTGCTTGTGAAACAGGCTCAGAGACAAAGTACCTCCTATCACAGCTTCCTTGATCACAAGCTTCCGCCTTCACCAGCTTATCTTCACCCTGGCATTCTTTCTTTACAGCATGTTTTACAGCTGCATACTGATCCTTATCACTTGACATATTACTCGACATGGGAGAACTTTCTTTCTCGAGCAATAACTTTCCAGCTACGGTGGCCAATAAGTCAAATGCACACATCTGATTGTCTTCGGGTTTCTTCTTAAATGAGCTCCTCCTCTAAAAAGAAAGTAACAAACAAGCATTTGTTTGTATCAGCATTATTGAAATAAAATAAACGAAATAATTACAGCGGTTACGTGGAAAAATATATTACCCTAGTTGATCTGCTTGCTCGAGGAGTAGCAGGCACCTGGTAGCCATTGAACCCATACTCCAGCCTGTTCTGCAACACCATGTCTCAGAGATCATACCAAGACGGACACATCACACGTAGAGGAACAACATTTTTATATCCATCTTAAGCCGAACGCGAACTCTCAGAACAACTTAAATTTACAGAACTCAAGATAATGCCCTCTGAACAGAAAAAATTAAACTGATCAATCTGACTATGTAAAGTGAATGCACAATCAATGACATAATAACAATGTAGAAAACTGGTTTAATTCATTTAGAAACTAAAATTGTCAATTAAACATTGGATTCGCAGCAGATAAGGAAGTTCATTAAAGAGTGCATGGCAAAGACAACATGGTTATGATGGATTATGAAAGAATTAGCTAACAGAAAGAAATTCACACTCATAAACTAAAACCCACAAAGCAACATAAAAGAAAAGAAAAAAGACAATCCTTTAACCTCCTACTTAATTAGTGCAATCTACAAACCAATAATGAATAACCAAACTTCCATCAGATCAACTCAATCTAATGCCAAAAATAAATTGAAAACCAAAAAATGATAACTAATCAGACATGCCATGGAAACATGAATCTGAGTTAAGAACAGCATAATATACAAAGTGAAAAGAATGCTGCAATGATAGTGCAAGGACATAAAGGAGACCCACAATTCAAATGCGATAACGGGTAAAAAGAAGGAGACTTTAAAAGGAGAACAGCTGACAATTAAAACCCGCATATCTCTTTTCTACAGTATCTCTTAAATATCAAATTCTTTTTTGCATTTCAGGCAAGATGAAGAAAAATTGCAGGGAGAAAACCCTTAAACCACGACAAAACCCTGACAATTTAGAGGATCCAAGCAAAACATTTAAAGGAGAAATTGGGTCCAATCAGGGTAAATTGAACATAGAAAGATCTAATACTCTTAGAAGAGACCGATCTTAACCAACTCAACAGAAAAGCAGATACCAAAATCTGAGAGAAAAGGTGGAACTTTGCTATGATCTCTTGGAAATTCTGAAGAAAAAGCTCCAACCTTTAAACTTTTACAAATTGAAAAAAAACATGGAACAGAACAACCCATCACCTAAAATCCCAGATCGAATCCATACAAACCAGAATTGTGTAGAGAACACTAAATCTACAAGGAATTTGCAAGAAAATCAACTTCTTGCTGGCAGCGGAACACATCAGCCTCAGAAATTGTGAAGACCAAGATGAAAATTTTGAGACCCGTACTTGAATTTCCGATCAGCAGTCCAAGTTTTGTTCCATGTTGGCATCATTTCTCAGCAAGCAAACAAAGTGCTAACCCAAAACCCCGGTTCTTACCACAAGACCAACGAAAAGAAATAACTTTATGAGAAAATTCAAGATGCAAAACCCAGGATAATTCAATTTGCTCACCTCCAGGCAATGATTTTTATCTTTCGAAGTTAGAATCTCTTTTCCACAAGGAGCGAATTTTAAGGCAAATGTAAGATCGGAGAAGAACTGTAAACAGAGGAAACCGATATAACTCCAAGAAGAAAATAAGAAGGGAAAAAAAAAAATCCCAGAATTCTGTTTTATCTCGTCATCAACAAAACACCATCATCCCTCATTTTCTATCCCATATTTCCCGAGAAAATATAGAGAAAAAAATTAAAGGAAGAATTTTTACGTAGTTTTGAAACGCTACCCATTTAGATTTTCTCTCACAAACATGATTAAAATTCTCTCTCCCCTTTTTCTCTGATCGCCAAAACCCTCTGAAAAACACCCGGCCTTATGCTTAAACCCCCAGCTCTTATACCATTGACCCCTCTTACCGGACCTATCGGTAACCTCTCTGGTGTCTACAGGCTATAGCAGGTGACTGGCAAACCACCTTAAGACCGGTTCTTCCTATTTGGTGACCCACCAGTGCTTCTCAACTTCTCTCAGATTTTGACACGTAGAAACCCATTAAAATCCTGCGGTTCCCTTCTCTTCTATTACTCGAGAAAAACGTTGCGTCACTAGAGACTGAATTTTTTAATTACATTTTTTTCTGTAAAAAAAAAAGTGAAAATATGTGTTTTGAGAATTATTATTATTATTATGGGAATTATCAATTGATTTTTAGACAGGGATATATTCGAATTTTTGTCTCATAAATTGGTACTTTTAGTGATACTCTTTTTGTTTTTTCATAAATAAATAATATTCATAATAAAAATGAGAATTTACATTGACAATTAAAAAAATAAATAAATAAATTATAAAACAAGGGTGGTTTTACCATGTTAACGTTTTCTAACATTAAGAAAATCCCAGAATCTAATTTCAATACTTTATTAAATATTTACGTACCATCAATTCAATACCATTAATATGGTAAAAATTAAATCTGAAAAAACTAATTCTTATAAAATGGGCGTGATAGAATTATTATTATTATTATTATATCTCGAAATAGGGTGAAAATTAATTAAGCCTTTAAGGTAACAATTTTTAGAAAAAAAAAAAAAAAATTTACTGCAAATGTAATTTTACGTATTAGAGAATAAAATTGAGCTGTAGCAGTTAATTAATCACGTGATTAACAGATCTGATACCAACATAATTAATCGGATTATTTTTGTTAATTAATTATTATTTTAATATTTTTCTGTGTGCAAGTGAGATGGCAAAGATAAACACCAGATCTAACGGGTCTTAACGGGGGGCCATTTCGTCATTTTACTTGAATTGTAATTGTAGAATTCGAGCAGTTATCCCGATAAGCATGTCTTGAATTTTCTTTTTCTTTTTTTTTTTTTTTATAAAATTTTTGTGAGGCCAAATTTTTTTAAAAAAATGCCACGTTGATAAATACACTAATTTCCCACGTGGCAAAAGCGGTACCTCCTATTGGTTACTTTTTGGTGAGTATTATCAGGAGGTTCTGTCTTTTTTCTCCATAAAGGAATTTGAAATACATGAGAGGGATGGTGACGGCGTAGGAAGGAATCTCCGTTTAAGATGATTTTGACGGCGGGGTTACGTGGCGGGTAAAGAGCCAAGGTAGGCGACGGCGTTACGACTGGGTATAAGGGGCGTGGGGTTCGTGGTGGGGCCGTGACTAGTGGTGGCCCCTAGAAATGACACGGATTATTATCATCAAAGACGTTGTCAAAATATTTTATTTTTAGTCACCAAGAAAAAAATAAAATAAAATTTTAATTATCCAAATAAAATAAATTAAATATTTATGGACGGTTAAAAAACGAGAGGGGTGTAAAAGTTTTTAAACGTGTCAAAATAGGAGATAAAAGAGGTTTGCCATGAGAGGTGGTGGTACGGGAGGGACGATAAAGTTTCCTTGCAGTGTGACGTGGGGGGGGGTTGGGTGGGGTTCAGTCGGGACACGTGGCGGAATATGAGTGGGTAAAGACACGATGACAAATTTCTATTCCGTCGCCGATTTTCCTGCGAGTTTTTGTTGAGGAGAGTACGTGATGAGAAGATTGGTTGGCTATTATGTCTGAATCTGGACCGTCCGTTTAACTGACCAAGACTATCACGGGCTCTTTTACTTCACATCAGTAAATACTCGTATACTTAACCCAATTCACTTAGAAGTTAAAATACACTAATTGCAATTATTGTAATCCATCATTATATTTTGTTTTATTGCTAATTAAACATACAAATTGTTTAATGCATCAATCTAAAATTATTCAATACAAAAATATTACCAATAATAAATAATAAATCAAGGTTTTGATATAGAGAATTTCTAAATTATATTTTTAACTTCATATAATAATATATCTATTAATATTAAAATTGCTGTTAAATTAAATTAAATTATGATAAGATTATTATGCAATATAATTTATTCATATTTACGAATACATAATCAATTAAAAAACGTAACATTATTATCAAAATAAACTATATAAAGATACTCGATGTTTTTAGTGTATTTATAGTTTAATATCTTATTTCTTTTATGAAAAAAAAAAAAGGATTAAACATCTAATTTTAATTAATTATGTGATCTTATAATTATAAAAACTAATAAATATAAAATATTTTTTTGAATATCCATTAACATAATATAATATTGAACATTTGATGTATAGTTAGTAACAAGTTGTAAACGGCTGGAAGTACAACTGCAACGCAGGCACATGAAAACATTGTTATTGGTTTTGCCTTGGAAGCCCACCTGGCTTCTTTAGTCATTGTCCGATGTTCAATATATCTATATAGATATACATACATATACGTGTGTGTGTATATATATATACATACCGTCCCAAGAAAGGAGGAGAAGGGTCGGCATCTTTGTCTCCTCCGTTCAAGGTTATCTACAGTACATACCGGTTTATTAAGCATCCGAATTCCCTTCAACCGTTAATCATGAATATAGATTCAATATAAACTACACATGTATGTATGTGTGTATATATGCATGCACACACACACATATATATATATATATATACCAGGAAAAGTTAATATTGAAAAGAAATCAGACAATTCAAAGGTGGTGGATTATGAGTAGTCACCCAGTTTGAGCTAATGGAATGAAATATTATTCAATTAATCTTCTAATTATTTATGGTGTGACGTGGAGCAATCTGATTGGTGAATTTACGAATTGCAGAGAATTGAAATGTTGACGATTAAAAAACTCATCTAGCTTGGTTGGTTGAAGATCTCAGAAGAGAGAGTTTGAGGTTTGAAGGAACCCTCAAAGATTTCTTGACGTAAAAGCGACAATCCAAACAACCCATTAACTTAATTTGTTTTTATTTTTTATTAAAAAATTAATTTTTGAAGGTCAATGAAGTGGATGAGAAATCTCCATTGAAGATTTTCCTTTCTGCTCTGCTAGCAGTTTTCAATGCAGACTTTTTAACAAATTTAGAAATTACAAAGATTAAATTTGTTTTAATTAATAAATGGAATTTTATCTTCTATTTTTTTTTAAAACATAAAATATAATTCAATGATGGCCCCCACACATTATAATAAGAAGTTTTATGTTCACATTTATTCGGCTCCCTAAATGGACCCATTAGTGCATGTTGTGCAACCATCTAGCTTTTCTATGAACATGACAAAATTGAAAAAAAAAAAAAAAAAAAAAAAAAGGAACAAAGAAAATTTTAATGAGTATAATTTTTTTTTTTTTTTTTTTTTTTGGTTGAGGAAGAAAATGGGAGATTTGAGTGAGTAAAATATATTTTTTTGTAATCCTAAGAACATGGGGGTTGCATAGGTTTGCTTGCAAAACAAAATGTCGGTTGTACAAATGTGTGGAGATAAAAATTATGATAAATATTTGATTTTTATAAGGAGGGTTTTATTTTTTATTTTTTAAATTTGAAGTTGAATGATTGAAATTAAGATGTAAAATGGGAGTCATTGATTTATTTAAATTTCTAAAGAACATGTATTTTGTGGGGATGAAAAGAAAAAGGGGAAAACATGAGTTGTTAAAAAATTGAATGACAATGGAGTGGATTCAGAACAAGTTTTACCAAGATTGAATCTGCCTCAAAATTTTCCCCAACCTAAAGCCGAGTTGTTAAAAAATTGGTTTCCTTTGCATGGCTTCGCACCATGCGGGTTTATGGTAAAACACCGCTCCACCCTACCCTAAGTAAACTTAAAAAGAGTTTCGTGAACATGTAGGCTACCTTCCGCTCTGAGTAAAGTTTAAAGAGTTTGGTAGAGCCTTAAGGGAAGACTCTCTTTCTCCTAACAATTCAATCTTAGATCATGAATTAACCCGCACGATTTATAGAGCCTTTTTCTTCAAGAAATTAACTCGTGTATGTATTTATTGGAATTGCGTTTTCCTAGTTTTTTTTTTTGAATGAGAGAATTATGTTTTTATCTGCCATTAAAAATATACATCTTTAGGCCAACAAGATCCTAAAGACCAAAGTTGTGACATTATTATACCATCATTCTTTGTAAACCAAAATTATTATTTTGATGTTTTGAATTATTTGTCACATTACAATTAAGTTCTGACATTATTTATTTTTATAATTTAATCCTTCAGATTTATAAAAATTATTATGACTTTTGAACTAAATTAATAATTTATCAAAGAAAAAGTTAGTCTTTAATAGATTATGATGCTATGGATTGTTATGAAAAGAATAAGATCTCATTATTAATTATTCAGCAAGGTGATAATCCAAATCAACGTCTGCACACTTTAAAAAAAAAAAAATCCACTTTTTAATCCAATCAAATAGTGGACAGATTCTACAGAAAATTATTCTCCATTTGTCTGATCCAGAACTCGAATTCTAATAGCCACCAAAACAATTAAGCAATCACATGAACTTGAATTCAATTTTACTGCTAACTATGGAACATATATATATATATATATATAAGTAGTATAGAATCCATTTTTAAATTTATATTTATTCTAATTTAGAGAATTTGTACATTATATTAAAATAATTTAAAAAAATGACTGCATATGATAGTCTATGTAAAAATTAGATTGATATATATCCTAAATCCTATCAGAATTCATGAAATTATAATCTATTATCCTAATTACATATAAAGTAAGTTTTTACCATTTAAAGTAGAATTCTCTTCATCATTTCTAATTGTAAATTTACAAATGAATTCCACAAAAAATTTGGGTTTTTCCAACCATAGCCTATAATGTTTACTCTGATGGTTCAATGTTCTTTTTCAGAACATGAACATAGTTAAGTAAAGCAGCAAATCACCGCAATTTACCCACAAATGAAAATTTTTCTATAATGCTATCCCTTTAACATCCCACGGCCATGGAAGAAGCATGCTCTCCCCATATATGATGTTATCTTCTGTTCTCGTTATGACAACCATGCAACATTACCACATCAATTTGTTCTTTGAAAGAACAAACTAAAGGCTAATTTTTAGCGTTAACATCACTCTTTTTACGGAGTGACAGAGGAGAAGACTTAAAAGCCAACAGTAATGAAACCAACATATCCTTTTATGAAGGAAAATTATGAGATTCTCATGTTAAATGAAGTTACTAATTACCCAGATGAATTTACTTTGATACCCTAATAATAATATGTCATCATAGGCTGCTAGAAGAGGTGCTACTATGGTACGTCGTTAGTATTATGCCCGACAGCCATAAGGTTACTAAGATATATTAAGAAATTACCATAGAACCCCTAAGGGGCGATAATCAAAGATAACAAGTCCCTCCTAACAGAAGTTGAAAGTTCAAACATAAAAACCCATGCCAATGGGCGGACCATAAACATAACAGTAAAATACAATGTGCCATTGGAAACTTCCCACAAAATGACATGATGTTACAGCTTATACCCCAGCAAATATTGGACTTGCTATCAAGCTCGTGAATGTACCACTGAAGTTCCACATTTTAGTGACACAACTATGGAAATCCTTCCTAGGTGAAACCTTTCGGCTTGACTAGCAATAATCCTTTCACTATTCTATCATATTATCCTCTTTTATTATGTGAATAAGTGTTTATTATTCGTTCTACCTCATAACTATTCCAGCAATTAGAAGCGAAGAATAAAAACCGTACCTTGCAGCTGTCAATACTCAACTAGTATGTAAAATGATATTAAACTACATATATATTATCTAATTAAATACAAGTATCAATTCATTCGGTCATACTCATGACCAAGAAAAAGTGTTGACATTGACATAAATTTAAAAAGTCAAACATACCTATTGGGGGGATAGAAGAACCAATGCTTTAGGCAGATTTTTTCTTATTTAAAATAATCTATCTCGAAATGACCAACCTCTACCTTTAACCCAGCTGATATTTCTTGTTCAATTGATTTCCATTTTAGTTCTTGTATCTCCTATAATCCTATTTTTTTTATCTTTCTATTTTTTAATGGATTTTAAAGCTAAATTCTTTTCTTTTCTTCAACTCTTATTTTATTTAGTGCATGTTTAGAATTAAACTCTATGCTTATTTCAAATTTTATTTATTTTTATCTTTCTGTAACTGTATTATGTATTGTTAACGGCACATTTTGGGTGTATTTTCTTTTTCAAATTTATTTTATTATTTTATACATAAACATATAGAGACCTATAAAAGTACCAGATGAGAAGTGTTCCTCTTTTCAATAAAAAGCACTCTCATTATGTAAACACTAAAAGAATGGTAGTGGAAGAAACGAAAGGCAAGAAAAACAACGGAAACAATAATAAAATTCCTATAAATAATTAAACTATGATTAATGGAATAAGATACAATGAACACATGCCAACAAACAACTTATCACTTCCACGTATAACACCGAAAAGTTCTATAGTCTAACTGCAAAATCCATCAAACATTCATGAGAAAATAAATACCTCATTCAGCAGATAGATTACCATATTGCCATGGGTTAAACTCAATTGATTTGACATCAATGTGATCGCTGTTGTCTGAGCTATCAATAGCAGCTCGATGTTCAGTGTACTTCCCATTGTACTGGTAAACCTCCAATTCACCCCAAGGTGTGGGTGTAACTTCGTCAGTTAAATCAAACCATCTTGGTTTAAACTGATGGCCCTTTGCCTCCCGATTCCTTTTCTCAGCTCTCTGTCTCTCCTCCAAACTGAAAGAAATGGCAAGAAGATGACCAAAGTACCTCGAATTTGAAAAGCCAAATTCATTAAAGAGAGTACAAAAAAAAACAGCAGTGAATGGCTCATGGGAGACGGTTAACATTAACCTCCTTTTTCACATGTAATAACTTGATTCAAATGGGAAAAGAAATCGTGAACAAATTATGCACTATCCCACTCAGCTCCCATAGTAAAGGAATAGAACTAAGAAAAAACTTTAAATAAAACAAATATTCCTCAGCAACATTGGGAACAGAAAATTAACAGTTTAAACATAGATCAACAGCCCTAAAGTCACAATGCAAACTAAATGATGAAATCATCAGCTCAGCGTCAAGAAACAATAGCATTAAATTCCGTTTAATAAAATTTCAGACTCTATGAAATGAAATCAGCAGTTTGTTCATTCATTAAACTATAGCCACATATTTGAAGGTTTCAGACGAAATGTACAAGTGCAACTGACAGAGAGATGGAATGAAGCCACGTACTTGTGCTTTTCTGCACCAGATTTGGATAGGTCACCCTGCTCAAGAGCATATCGATCAGGACGCAAACGAGAATCTGATGCTAACAACTTCGTAGGGGCAGTATCAAAGCTGTTAATTTTATGAGCAAAATGTGTGTACTGAAATTTGTCATTCTCAGGAATATCAGCAACATGCCAAACCTGCATAACACAAGAAGGGTCCATGACTTGAATTCGAACAAAAATCCATTTAATAGACTCTTTATTTGAAATGTTGCCTGTTGTCCTTCTAGCATTGAAGGAAAGTAGACATGCCACTGAAATTAAAACTACATTTTTTATCACCCAATATGAGGCTGCATTTATCATATGAAAACACTTTGTGATTTTCATTTTCAAAAGTTACATAAAAGAACAGGTGGTCCATATTAGTGTAGAACATGTGCATAAATATTTTTTTTTATCTAAAGAAAATGAAAAACAACTTTCAATTCTTCTCAGATTTATGTAAAGTTTCACTACTATTTTGTAAATTTTTATTTTCATTTTTAACCAACATATACACTTTATATATTAACTAATGAATTTAGAGAATAAAAACTTGAAAATGATTTCATGTACCAAATGGAGGTCAAACCTCCAATCCTGCGAGATAAACATAAGAATTTAAAGCAACAAATAGTATCTGCATGAGATCAAGTTTCGACAATTTCAAAAAACTGTCTAGGAATTAAACAAGCTATCAAAAATCCTATAAGTACACCTTGGAAGGATAAATACACCCTATGTGTCAAAGAAAAGTCAACAAATAAGCATGATATCAGGGCCAGACATCTAAATTCATCATCATCTTCTTCTTAGTTAACTTTTCCTTAAAGAGACAACAAAAAAGGAGAAAAGATAAATGCATTCTAAACTCATAATCAGCTAGGCTTTTCATAGTAACACCCTTGTGAACCCATATTCTATATAGCAGTGTAATGTAAAATAATGTAAGCTTGGGCTTTGGTGTTTTAATAAACAAGTGTCACAAGCTTAACATAAGGAAAGGCCAAAGTTCAAGAAAGAACCTCCTTCAACTCTGTGCCTGGAAGGGGTTCCCCTTCCATATCACATGGTTGATAGCTCATCATCTCATTCCACTTCCCTGTCATCAATATTTTTGGTTCTTCAGCTGCATTATAAACATATCCATCCACCTCATATCTTCCAGCTCTGAAAAAGAAATGAATGGCATTCAATCACCAATAGCAGGTAATAACCAAAGAATAAAAATATTAGGTACCAAGCAAAAGGTGGCAGTGGGAAGATTCTTGAGGATAGCAACATTTACTAAACTAGGAAAATATTAATTTAATAAGTCAAACCTTGAGCTGAATTTCTTAAGGCACTTAAACCTATGTTTAAAAGTGTTGTGGTGAAGTTCAAAGCTACATATAAGAGTACCTTCTGAGCAAGAAAAAAAACAGAACATCTATTAAGCCAAACTTCAAGCTGAAATTTCATCTGAAAATGCTCAATATTTCCATGCAATAACGCCATCAGTTTTAATTATAGTTCCTTTTGGAGCACTAACATCTATATCTGAAAAGCCAGATGTTAAAGTTCAAAAGAAAGATTGATGCAGAAAGTGTCTAATACCCGAACCAGCCACATGGTTGAAAATACAGCACAACTTTGTCCCCAGTAGTCAAATTTGTCATGATCATCTCTCCTGGTGAATCAACCCAAGTTCGTCCAAAAATAAGGTTGTTAACCTTGGTTGGCGGTGGCACCAAATCTAGGACTACACCATCTCTTTTAAGGGTTACACGTGTTCTGGAAACACAAAAGGCCACATGGAAACATGCATTATTTAAAAGACAAAGCTAAAGTCAAAAGGGAAAGCAAAAGATTGAACCACAGAATAACCCAGGAATTTTTTGTTTTTTTGGTGGGGGAGAGGGGAAGGGAGAGAAGAGAAAACATTTGAAGATAACTACCCATATACATGAAACTGAGATTTTAAAAACCATCAAAAAGAAGAAGTTACATTGGATCTAGATATGTAAAGCCAGAAACGTTTTAGAAGGGAAAAAAGCTGTTAAGCACATTGATTTGGGGAGATAAAACATTGTTACCCCTGTACTGATATTAAAGACATGATCCAGAAAATTAATTCAACTACTGTTTAAAACTTTTTTTTTGATATATTAACAGTAATGTATATTATAAGTCACCAAGGGTGTGCCGCCCATTTACAAACTACTGTAATAGAAAAAGCACAAACACCAATCAAAACCTTGCATCCAGAGAGGTCATGAATTTAATGAAGAATGCCAAGATGAGAAGCAAATAAAAATAAATGACAGAAGTGAGCAGTGCCAAACGCCACCTTCCAACAGGGTAAACGTCCACCGAGTTCCCCAAAAATTTAGTTTTTAACTTTGAAGTCACGTCATAAGCAAAGTGCTCATTTTCTGCATGGCCAGCACTCATTGGTGGATGATGGCTCACCTGAAATGTCAATATTCACTGAAACAGTCAGTCTCAAATAGAAGTGCAGGATCATAAAATTTAACCATAGAGCAGTACTGGATGTGCTCATACTATGAATGTCATTTAAAGGAGAAAAAGGAAGGCTTCTGTGCATCTTAAAAAGAGAATGAATGAAACAAAGAGAAGAGAACAACAACATCACAAAAAGCTCAAAGTAAAGGCAAAATACTTAAAAACTCACCTGCTCAGAAATAAATGTAATCCCACCATGATGAACCATCTCATAAGTCTCTCCAAGAATGGGATTGAAAGGTTTCCATGTTCTTTGGTAGGCATAATAAACAGATATAGCCCACGATGCTGCATAACATAACAAATATCATTGAACATAAGATGGTAGTTGCATATGCCTCAAAAAGAAAAAAAAAGAAACCAAATCAAGAATATACTGACAAGCATACACCAAACGCATGTAGGGATCTTCACACTCATCTGCCCGATCCAACAAGTAGGAGTATTCCATTAACTGTGACATAAATCATGACTTCTATGCTTTAATATAAGAAACAAAATATTGCAGGGAGTAACACAAATTGAAAAAAAAAATGAAAAGAAAAAGAAAAGGAGTTTGGGAACATAGTTTTTACAATGAACACTATAACCCTCTTGCAGCCTTTCTCTACCACCCAAAGAGTGGGTTCAAACTCACTTCTTTTTCTTGGAACAAGAGGGATATATGCTTAGTTAAGCTAAGGCTGCTGGCCCACAAAATTAAAACTGTTGCACTAAAAATTGCACAAACCTCGGCCATTTTCTGAAGCATAGTCATTGGTTCAAATATAATAACAGGAAGTGTCACCATCGATGTGACATCTGAGCCTATATACTTTTGCATCATTTTCCAGTAACTGTCTCGCTCCTGTTAAGTCCATCAGAGTATAATTCTCAAAGTATTAGCAGGAAAAGAAAGACACAAAATATAATACTTTTGTATTCAATGAGCATTCCAAATTAATTGACAAGACAATCAATTTGACAATATAAGGAATTATACAATATCTAGAAGAGTGGAAAACTATCATCTTAGAATAGAAGAGTAACGGAAAGTATAATTCTTAACAAATTCTTATACAAGAACCCAAAAATTAAAAAAAAAAAAAAAAAAAAAGGCGGACATCACATAGTTCATTTTCTGCTTTCAAAGAAAAGGATTTATACCAAAATCATTTAGGAATACAGTTGTTATAAGCCTATAACATATTCTACAAAAAGAAATTCTCCATTAAAAATCTATCCACAAGTGGTTGTAGGAGAGAATTTTATGCGTCATTTGAAACTCATAAGTTTAGGTTAATTCTAGTAAATGTTAGTTTAGCCGACTTGAACCTAAACTCAATGTCTAAAGAGCAAAAAATAATTTATTTTTCACATAGCGGTATAGAAAAATGGAATTAACACTAATGAGAAGGAGAAAAATAATATATCAACTGGGTCGTCTAGGTTTTGTCTTAATTCTTATATTAATTAGCTCCTACATTGAGTTTTTGATACTAAATAAGTTACACATTGTTATATATTGGAAAAAATAACTTAAAGTTTGATAAAGATTAAAAACAAAATCTATTGAAAAAGAAAGAGCAGTAGAGATATAATAAGCGAATAACATGTGAAATATGAACCTAGTTAAATAGGTCAGATACTCATTTTGATTTACTTATTATTTCAAGGATAATATAGGTTACAAAACTGTTGACATGTTAAAAAAAATAAATATTTCGATTAAATCATTTTGATTGGAAATACTTTATGGTCTTTCCAATGCCAATCAAATATATATTAAATTTCTTAAAAGCATTCTCTTTTTGTTTTATATACACACATAATACTGAAGTTCAATTAAAGAACTATGTTCCAAATCTTAGAACTCAATTCATTTCTCAATTCAAAGAATAAGGTTTCAATTCATAATTTGAATCTTGATTTGGTAACCATGATGATAAACAACATTATCAGGTATATTTATTTTGATTTTTTAAAAGAAAAAATCAAACAAACACGAGCCCTGCCGTGGCAGCAGGTAATATCACAGCAATATTAGAAGTAAAACCACAGAGTACGCCATTCTTATTTTAACAGTTGAAAGTTGGAAATAAAATACTGCTTCCTCAAATAAAATACTAATGAATTATTGATTCAACCATCATTTTCAAGAAGGCAAAAAGCAAAATCTAGGAGCCAAGATTCTTTCCAGCACACAGATATTACAGGGAACTAAAATTAATTGAGGGAACCACATACCTCCTCCTTCCATCTTCCTCTCTGAGCTTCCTCCTGTGCGTCTTCTTTGCCACCCTCAGGATTTATGACTTCTACACCTTCATAACCAAGAAGCCTGGAGCAGACAAAGTATAAGATACTACTGAATGGAAAACCAACATAGAGATATATGAGTGCACCCACTTAGAAATAACCAAGGGAAAAAAAGGAAAGAAATGAAGATGGTCATTGCCACAAATTGGATCCAGTGTCCAACTTCGAGAGGAAGACTATAGATGGAATGGCGGAATCACAATGTTGAATACATGCCCCAGCAACTTATCAGCAGTACCCTGCTCATTGTGCACGGGGGATTTAACCAATGTTCTAGCTCCTAGAGAGCCAAGGAAAAGGTATGAGAAGTAGCTGACACCAGCTCTAGACTAATGTACATTAATTCATTCTCAGAGTGGGTTATTGCTAGAGAATTAAGAATATTTCCTATATATCTTAGAGAATAATAGGATACTTCAGGTAATCTTTACTATACAGTCGATCATTGGTGGAATTCAATAAAGCTTAGCAAGGAAAATGGTTGTGGAGATTCTTGAGAGAAGAGGGAAGAATGTGGAGAAGGGTGATTATGGCTAGGTGGCAGAGCTGTGCATTAATGGGTGTGGGCAGGGTGGACGAGAGAGGTCATGGCCTGGGTTTATGGAAGAAAATCAAGATGCGCTGGCCTGGTTTCAAGGAAAACCTGGCTGGGAAAATGGGAAGAGAGAATAACACTAGATTCTGGCATGATTCATGGTTGGAGGGGGTTTTCTAAAATTCTGCTACCCTAGAATTTTCACGATAGCACAAGCCAAAGATATGCCGGTGGAAAAGACCGATTCGTGGGAGAATAATAGACGTATCTGGGCAGTTAATGTCAGCAGAAATTTGAATGACTGGGAGGCGGAGGAGTATGAAAATATGTTGAAGAAAATTTCCTAATTTCAAATGGGCAGCGATCAAGATCAGGTGTTGTGGAGGGGCAGCAAAAATGGCGAGTTTTCTATTAGCTCTTACTACTGCAAGCTGATGGGGTATATGCTGAATAACTCCCCCTGTTTTCCTAGCAAATTAATTTGGAAAAATTCTGCACCCCCTAGAATGGCTTTCTTCGCCTGTGAGGCTTGCCGGGAAAGCATATTAACCTTGAATAAACTGAAGACTAGAGGTGTTACTCTGGTGAATGGATGTTGCATGTGTCTTAGGGAAGAGGAAGGCTGCCACCTTCTGCTCAGATGTCCTATTGCTTTTGAACTGTGGAGCTTGGTGTATGGTTTGCTTGGCATTTGTTGGGTACCTGCTGGTTCGATTGAGGATGAGATTCGGGCTAGGGAGGGCGATGGACTAAAAACAGAAATTGCGAGATTCATTCTCCTGTCCATATTTTGTGTCATATGAGAAGAGAGGAACTTGAGAGTTTTTGAGGGAAATGTGAATAAATATTAGCAAGTTAAGAGAGAGATGGTTTAATTATTTCGGTTTTCTTGTGTTAGGTCATGACATCATCAAGGCTGAGGATTTTGGGGATGTCATTGATATACTAACTAATTTGTAAATCTCTTGTAAATGGGCGGTACCCCCTCTTTTTTGGTACTTTATTAATATAGTTACTATACTTTTTCTTAAAAAAAAAATAAACAATTCTTAGTGTTTCCATTATTAATTATAGGTATCCCTGTGACAACTAATTTTCCCTCTAACATAGTAACATGAGCAGTTCCATAACACGATTTCAGTTTATCCTTCTAGTGTCGCATAGAGCAATAAGATATACAGCTTATTAACCTCTACTGTCTTGTTCTTACTACCACTTTTTTACTTTCTAGCTATCTTCAATGAAAAAGAAGAAAGACAAATTCCTACTCTTTGTACGCTAAAACTATCCGGTTTCCCTTGGTTAAAAAATATAAATTCAAAATCATCTCAAACCACTGGCTTCACCGAAAAGTCTAGCTACTGCTAAGAGGAGTTGTAAAACAACACTCAGAAGAGTCTGACCAGCCAGTCCATGAAATTCTTTTTTGCTAATATCACCTGGAAACACCTCACATCAGCTGAAGATCCAGAGCTTGCTTCTCTTATATCCAATTTTCCAGCCAAAAGATCAATGACACGAGATCTAGAACCAGAACTATCAGACAATTCCAGAGCAAATTGACCATAGGTGGCATAAGACGTGTGTGTTGCAGAATTGGAAAGTTCCTACCAACGTAAAGTCAACCAGTTTAGCTAGATTAACAGATTCAGCTCAGTTTGATCGATTCAATTCCTTCTTGATGGTGCACAGGCATAGCAGTAATTTACTATTTAAGAATTATACTATTAATTTATTTTTAGTATTTTGTAATCCTATTCGAAAAAAGATAATTTGGCACTCTATTAATATCTCTATAATCTCCGTTTGGATCAGCATTCAGTTATTCAATGAAAAGTTCAACCCTGTCATGCATGCTACATTCTATGATTCCAACTCAACAGAGCTGAGGTTTTCCCACCCAGGGAGATTAATGGCGCATAAGCATGATAGAAATTTACAATTTAAGAATTTTATTACTTAGGTTATTTCAATATTTTTCTGTTTATTTATGTCTTGTTTTCCTACATTTATTAGGAGTATTTCTTAGTCTAATCTTGGCACTCGA